TTTTTTTTAGGGTGGCACACAAAGATACATCACAAATACAATCATAATCATCAAAACTTAATCACGACGTACACAAAGTGTATAGCATAACACGTATAATCAACAATCGAACATAAGACAAGCATGATCAAGATCCTCAATCAAGAATGAACAAAGGACAAGAAAGTCTTGTGAATTCACATACAAGTTCCAATGCCAACAAATAATCATTTCATTTTATAAAAACCGTCAAAATCATTGAGCACATAAAGTATGAGAGTTAATAATGAACACAAACGACAATCCAATCTAGCCACTTAGTCATTCCGAGATATTGGACTCACATCAATTCTCATATGGGGAAATCGACACAAAACACACAAAAACAAACAAAACCGGTCCACGACACAACTAAACGAAAAGAAAATACGCCTAAAGCATGCATAATCACGCAAACCCCTCCCCCACACTTAAAACAAAGCAATGTCCTCATTGCTTGACCCAAAAAGCATAGAAAAGAGCACGTAATCACATAAGCTCAAGCGTTCGACAAGATAAATGAACTATACAAACGAAAACAAAAAAAAGAAACACATAACACATAGAAAAGAAAGAGAAAGAGAAAAATAAAGAAGGGAAAAGAAAGCGCGCACTCAACACGGTGGGGTTCCACCGTGTATCGAGGTGTTCGTCCGGTAGGAAGAGAGAGAAAATTTGGCCCGAAAGCCTCCTTGTGCTCGAAACAAGATCATCCGAACGGTTGTACGCATAGACTCCATAAGCCAACCGGATACTTTGACATTTGGTAGCATAGGAGAAATCGAAAATTCCGTCCCCGACTCCAAATAAAGGCCACATGTGTTCGTCTCGGAGGGATAAAAACCATGAATCCAATAATACTCAACGAAGACAAAAGTAAGCGTGAAAGATAAGAATTTGAGCCATGAACCCACGATAATACTTGCCAAGCATAACCTCAAGCACGACCAAACACCAATGATATCAATGTCCAACGAACTCAAACCATTTGAACAAACCACTACAACCTCCTCCATTCAACAACTCCAATAATACAAATGTAAACACCTCCGAACAACAACATATTAAAGAACCAAAATGTCACCAACAACCCATCAACAACTTAATTTTCGATAGCCTCCAATACAACCCGAAACGACCACTTCACTATTCTTAACTCAACAAACCCAACAATTTAACAATACGAATGTAAACAACTACGAGCAACACTTCAACTCCAATCGAATATTCCAATGATAGAATCACACTATTGAGCCAAACCCAACCAATTCAACAACTATAACAAAGATCAACCACTCTCAATTTCCAAAACAACACCAATTTCAATTAACACAACAATTCCCCACTCCTAATCAACTCCAACAAAATGAACAAACCGGGATTTAGCAATTATACCTTTGTGCCGATTGTAATTGCTAGAAAATTTTGTTGCTTGGTCTTTAAAAGAATCAAACCGTGCCTTTCGGGAATACAAAAGCTCAAAGATGCCGGAATGAGCTTGAGGTAGCCGGAAGAATTAAAGAACCAGGATCACCGGAAGCTTGAGGTCGCTGAAATTGGGCTGAGGTGGTCTGAAAA